CAAATACATCATCCAATATCCAACAAAAAGCATTTCTCTTTCTATCCCTCTCCCTATCTCCATCTCTCCCCCCTCCCTTCCTTCCTCAATACTTAAACCACTCATCCAAACATTCAATCATCAATCCCCTACCCTCTTTTTCCAATTCCCAACTCCTAAATTATTCATACCCCCCAAAAAAACCGGAACAAAGAAAAAAAAAACAAGAATAAAGAAAATAAACAAAATCTCTATATTTAACAACCTACCAACTTACCGATCAACCAATCAACTAATCAACCCATCTGATATCTACCTACCTAACTACTTCACATCCTACTTCAATATAAACACCAAAAACTCACTCCCCTCTCCCAAATTCCCAAAAGAAAACTCCAATCAGCCAACCATCCCACAATCCCACCAAACTCTCTCCGTTTTCCTCCTCTATTCCCCCTCACCTCTTCAAATTCTCCCACTCCCATACAATATACTTATTTCCCAAATCCATCAATATCATTATTCACACCCTTAATCATCTCAATCTCAAATCCCTCACATAATCTCTAATCCTGATTCCCAACCGCACCCCCTATCCCCTATCCCCTTTACAAACCCAATCAACAATTTTAGCATTATAATCTCACCATACTATAAAACATCGAGATAATCACACAAAAATAAATAATAAAAAATACATACTATATATAAAACTTTATACTTACTTTTAACATTCCATTACCATCACTATTGCCATTACCACCACCATCCTCCCTCCCTCCTCCCTCCTCCCCAATATCCAAACTCTTTATACTTCCCCTATTCCCCTTCCCTCCCCTCTTCCTCTTCCTCTTCCTCTTCCTCTTACTCTTCCTCTCCCTCTTCCTCTTCCTCTCCCTCTCCCTCTTTCTCCCTCCTCCTCTCTCCTCCCCCATTCCCTACTATTCCCTTTCTATTTATCAATCCCTAATAATTCCCTCTCATTCCTATCCATCTATTCCAATTCCCTATATCTCTATCTATCCACAACCTACAAACTATAACTCACAACTCATAAATTATAAATTGTAAATCATATAGCCTTCAATCCCTATACTCAATCACCCTCTAATTTTCTTTCTTTCTTTCTTTCTTTCTCAATCCCCAAAATCCATCCCCAAAATCCATCCCCAAAATCCATCCCCAAAATCCATCCCCAAAATCCATCCCCAAAACTCGATCTCCCATATCTCTCTCTACCCCTCTTATTATATTTCAAAAAATATATCCAATCCCCTCTAATCCAATCCCCTCTAATTCAATTCAATCTTTTATATATCTATATATCCTTCAACCTCTCTATTCCCTCACCTATTTCCTTACCTACCTACCTACTCATCAACCCACCTACCCATCAACCACCCTCTCCATCTCCATCCCCACAAACTTAAACATCCATCCATCCATCCATCCACCTATCCACCCATCTATTCACCCATCCATCCACCTTCCAAAATTCCCAATCAATAATCTTCACATCCCTTTATACCTTCAACCTCTCTATTCCCTCACCTATTTTCTCATCTACCTATCTATTTCCCTATTTATTTATTCCCTATCTTCTTTCATCTCCCTCTATCTCTCTCTATCTTCTTTAATAACTACTTATCTATCCATCTATTTACTCTTACTCTAATTATCCTTATAATAACTATCTCCTACTCCATCTCCCTCCTATATAATCACTTACTCATTTACTTATTCACTTATTCTCTATCTCTTCTTTACCCCTCTATCCATTTATTCTATTTCCCCCCTATCTAATTACTTACTACTTACTCATTTACTTATTCATTTAATAAATTATTATCCTAATTAAACAAATCATTTATTCTCCTCCTATCCAACTACTCACTCACTTACTCACTCAATAAATCACCATCCCAATTATAAAACACCCCCCCTTCTCTTAAACCACCCCCCTTTTCGTATACCATCACTCACTGTTCCAAATTTCCCCCCTCTTCGAATTCCTATTCTTTTTGAATTCCTATCTTCTTCAAATTCCTACTCTCTTCGAATTCCCATTCTCTTCGAATTCCCACTCTCTTTGCATACCATCACTCACTATTCCAAACTCCTACTCTCTTGCTTTTCCCCTTTCATACCATCATACCATCATTCCCTCTCCCCTTTCCATTCTCCCCATAAATACCTATAAATACCTATAAATACCTATAAATAACCTATAATACCTATACCTATACCATACCCATACCATCATACCATCATACCATCATACCATCATACCATCATACCATCATACCATCATACCATCATACCATCATACCATCATACCATCATATTCTCTCTCCCTTCCCCCCCTTCTCCCTTCTCCCTCCTCTCTCTCTTCCATTCAAACTACCCTTGAGATCCTTTATATCCATCCACAAAATATCCCTTTCCCTTTCCCCCATTTTTCTCTCCATTTTCTTTTCTCTATTTTCTCTTCCTCTCTATATTCTATCAAACCTCCTTTCTCCCCCATTTTCTCCCCTCCTTCCCTATATTCTATCAAACCCTTCAAACCTTTAAACCTTTCAAATCTTTCAAATTTCCAAATCCCTTTTTCTCTCTTCTCTCTCTTTCTTTCAAATTATCCTTAAAATCTTTTATATCCTTTTACAAAATATCTTTTTTATTCTATTTTCTTTTCATTTTCTTTTTATTTTCTTCTCATTTTCTTTTTATTTTCTTCTCATTTTCTTTTTTTTTCACTTTTCTTTCCCCTTTCTATTTTCTTTTCATTTTCTTTTATTTTCTTCTCATTTTCTTTTTTTTCACTTTTCTTTCCCCTTTCTATTTTCTTTTCATTTTCTTTTTATTTTCTTCTCATTTTCTTTTTTTCACTTTTCTTTCCCCTTTCTATTTTCTTTTCATTTTCTTTTTATTTTCTTCTCATTTTCTTTTTATTTTCTTCTCATTTCTTTTTTTTTCACTTTTCTTTCCCCTTTCTATTTTCTTTTCATTTTCTTTTCATTTTCTTTTCATTTTCTTTTCATTTTCTTTTCATTTTCTTTTCATTTTCTTTTCATTTTCTTTTCATTTTCTTTTCATTTTCTTTTCATTTTCTTTTCATTTCTTTTCATTTTCTTTTCATTTTCTTTTCATTTTCTTTTCTTCCCTTTCCTTTTCCCTTCCTCTTCCCTTTCCCTTCCTCTTCCCTTTCCCCCATTTTTCTCCCCATTTTCTTTTCTCCATTTCTCTTCCCCTCTATATCCTATCAAACCCTTCAAACCCTCCAAATCTCTAAATCTCCCTTCCCCTCTAAACCCTTCACTTCTCCCCATTTTCTTCTCTTCAAGCTTCCAAACCCTTTAAACTCTTTACAAAAACCCCTCTATATCCCTTCCTATTTTCTCCTCAAATCCTCTACAAAACCTCCCTTCCCCTCTAGACCCCTCCACCATCTCTTTTCCCCCTTCCCCCTTTCTTTCCCCCTTCCCCCTCTCCATACCCCCTTCCCCCTCTCTTCCCCCCTTCCCCCCCCTCCACCCCTCTCCACACCCCAATCCACCCCCCTCTCCACACACCCCCTCCAAAACCTCCACAAAAACCCCTCCTACTACCCCTACTAACCCCTACCACCCCTCAAAAAGTGACCTCATACGAAAATCTTTCTCCTTCCCAATCCACCAAATCCACCAAATCCAAGTATTTCCCCATCCCCATTTCTATTCCACAAATACCCTCTCTCGGTCCATTCATTCGGCACTTATCTTCTCTTCTCATCTCATCACCATCACACATCTGACATCTGACATCATACCTCATATCGCATCACATCACATCACATCACATCACCATGTCACAGTATCTCTCACATACATATAAAAATCACCCACCAAGTAATCAAATCAAATCAGTTCATGAATTCATTTTTTTTCTTCCTTTACAAATTATGATGGATTTAATCTCATTCATTTATCATCTCATTCTCATATGATCTTTCCTTTCGCCTCCCTTCAATCTTTTCACTTTGATCAGAGCCTTTTGACTTCTTAATATCATTCCATTCTCTCTCCAATTCATGCACGTATGCATTTATTCCCAATCCATTGCAATCCAGTCTTGATCATCCACCACCTTTCCATTCATGAAATTCGCTATGCGGTTTTGCCTCGCCAACGGTCTTCACAATTTCCTCACCAAACACATAAAGAAAGAAATGACCATCATTTTGTATGCACAAAGAGTATTCCCTCCCCAATTCCCCCAACCCTTTCCGTATATGCCAGGGTTCCCCTTTCCATTCACCCACCCAATAATAAATAAACTTTTATGGTCCTTGATTCATCCTCTTGCTTTCTGCTACCACTTCAGTCCATGCGAGCGATATAATAACCAAAGGATCAATCATTTTCATCATTTCTCATTCGAGACGGTGAAAGTGATAATCTCTTGGATATCCCTCAATCAAACGATCGGAGAAAAAACAATTTACCGACCAAATTCCCAAAGCAAATAAACTCCAAAGTCTAAGATAACCGGGTCCGTCCGAAAGATTAGAACAGACCAAGACCAATGTGAACCAGTAGTAGGTAGCAGCGCATCGAAAATAAAGGACATGCAAGAAACGAAAAAAAAAACGCAACCACCCAATGAAAAAATAGGAACGCTAAAAAGTACAAAAGCAAAATGTTAAAGCAAGAGGATCATAAAAGTATGACCCACTTTCCCTTCATTCGCATGCTGCCCAAATATCTCCCTTTGCAAAAATGCTAAACAAATATGAATTGAGAAGGTCGTATTCGTAAGGAGAGAGAGATATATTAACAGTCGAGAGGGGAAAAGGTTTGTAATGAAACAAAAGAATCACAACTCAATGAAGAGGTAATTCATTTGATCCATCAATGATACAAGTATCTTGGGAAAGAATTAGATTTTCGTTTCGTGATCAGAATTCTCATGATCGTCATCGTAAATAGGGGCATTTTATCGTTTTCATTGACTCAGTGATTTGAATCATCATAGAAAATTGTTCAACCTCGGATTGCTGTTGCTGCATGAGCGTCGTTGAAAGAAAAACCACCATGCATGTGGTAAGGATACATCGAAGACGTACCCGAAACAAAGCCTGTCATAGGAGCAGGCGATGTAGAACGAGTACCTTGAGGGCTTACTCCAGATGAATGAGGCGAAGGTCGACTATCAATGTGTGCCATGGTGATTGGTGAGTTACTCGCAGTAGACTCGGCAGAACCAAAAAGGTAACCATCATCATTGTTTCCATCATATTGACCAGACCTCGCAGTACCATCCTTCAATTGTGGCGAGTTCTTCACTGACCCAAACTATAATACAATATTCAATTAGCTTCAATCCTTTAGTTGGCCCAGTGGTGTTCGTTGGTACGTACGAAGCAATACTTGTCGAGAAGTTCATTGTATGATTGTGATGCCAGTACAGGCTTCTCAGTACCAACGGGTCTTGGTGAATCTGTTCCACTGCTGTTTGTCTTTGCTGAAGGTAGAGGCTTAGATGGGGTGGTATTGTGAAAAGTCTTGGGAGCTTGCATTGAAAGTGGTGATACTTGTTCATCGTGATCAATAAACTTTCTCGGTTCACTTATTGGTGCAGGTCTCTTCGACTTCATTGTAATACCGCTCTTGTCACCGAGGGAAGAGTTGGCAGCACTAATGGCAGCATTAAGTGAAGCACCGAAGTCGTATCTGTGACCAAAAGCTTGACCACCAGCTGCGTTCGTGTTCATGGGTGCACGTCGGCTGCGGTTATCAGATGCTAAGGTAACGGCAGATTTGACTCCCTTCAATCTTACAGTATTTGAATCTCCAAGGTAATCTGCGACTGGCAGTTTGAAGTTGGTACTCAAATATTTCGAATCAAAGTCATTAGAGAAGTCGTCAAAGGTTGGCGTCTTCTTTGAAGAAGCTGGCGGCGACTTCTTGTTACTTCTCGGTAATGAGTTGGCCGATCTTGATGCTGCTGCTGGTGAGCCTCTCTTTCCATTTTGCGGCTTTGCCTTCTTTCGGAAATCAATCTGGAAGTTGGTAGAGTTGTTGTTGTCCCAGTACTCCACACCGTTGACACAATACTTTACACAAAAGAACATGGTCTTTGCTTCAAGGTTTGCTTGGTCAGCAAGTTTGATGTTGAAGTTGAAACGATCACACCCGTCATTGTGTTTTGGTTGACGGATGTCATTGTTGTATTCAGCAACGACTTCCGATGTGGTCTTCCAGTAATCCAATGTAAATCTAGCAACCACCATTTTGTTGAAAGCCAAGTTGGTAACAGCGACAGTTCCGATCAAGTTCTTGTTGTCTGCCGATAAGAAGACTCTCTCAACTCTGATGGGCATAGCAGCTCTTTGTGGGGTCATAGGAGGAAAGTTAGAGATAACAATCTCCCATTCGAATGGTGGTCCTCTGTTGTTGGAGTCCTCCTCATGACCGAATGGGAATTCGGAATCACTTTCGTATGCCTCGACAGGAGAGGAGCCAGCACTGACCGCGAGAGGTCGATCGACTTGAAGGAAATGACGGACGTGTTCAAGATGTGAATCAAAGTGAACCGCCTTGGAGAAGGTAGGTGTACCCGGCATGGATGATGGACGTCTTCTGGCAGAAGATGGTCGAAGAGCTGGTCGAACGAGTTCTCCGGATTTCTTTCGGAGCATCTGAGGTTTCCTTCTAATCATTGCCTCTTCATCTTCACTCATTTCATCATCAGATCCTGTGGTGGGTGTTTCTGGTGCTGACTGATTGTTGGGGTTGTTTCTAAAGTCGAGGAAGACTGTTTCAGTGCTCGATCTTTGATGTTGAAGTTTCCTCGGAGGTTGAGTGGTCTCGATGTGTTCCGACGTTGGCTTATCTTTCAGATCCTTTGTATCCTTGATAGGTAGAAGTGATATGGCTTGGGTAAGCTTTTGAATCTCCGATGATGCTCTCTTGGGCGAGCTCTCTCGGTGTTGTTCGATAACTCTAATGGCAGCTTGCAACTCCTCGAGGTTCTCCAACTTCCTCCCTCTCAACCCATTATCCTCTTCATCAGAGTTCTGAGTGGAATCTGGTGGTGACATGACTACTCCGATAGGCATCTTGGTTTCGTCCGTTACAGGTGGGGGTGATTTTCGAAGACTGCTCGAGGCAATCAAGCTGCTATTTGTATCATGGCTGGGACCCTTCTCCCCATCTGCTGTACCAGGGGGGGTTGGCTCTAGTGTTGGTGCGAAAGCTGTCGACTTAACCGAAGGAGTACGTCTGTGTCTAGTCAGGTAGGAAGTGGATCTGGGCAACTCTGGTCGGGGAGATGGGGTTGGGTGGTTAAGTTGATATGAGGAGCGTCTCGAGACGGCAGGGGAGTGAGTGGTAGAGGTGGCAGGAGACCGTTGGGAAGGTGGAGTGTAAGGCATCCTACGACGTGTAAAGGTTTGTTGGATAACCTTGATTTCGTTCTGATCTTGCTCGGGCAAGATAATGGATAGGTTGGGTAAAAGACGATTCGACTGAGCGATGTGAAGGGGTGTTTGTCGAAGGTAGCAATCCTAGTTTCTGCTTATCATTAAGTATTGAAAAGTAATTCCAATGAATCCTTAACAATTGTGGACTGTTGGTTGGGGCAAAGTAATGGTCAGCTACATTCTCACTCTTGCATGAGCGAAGGGAAGGAAGAAAAAAAAGAGGATATTTAAGAAACGTGGTATGAATGTATGGATGAAGTGGAGAGAGTGCATGTGTCATGTAGGTAATTTTTTCGCAGACAGATTTGATGCAATCGAACTGGTACTACTGCGTGGTGATGTTGTTGATATAGGATATGGGAGGGGAGGGGGGGAGGGGATTTTTTTTTATGTGAACTTACATATTTAGAAAATGGGATATTTTCTTCAATACCCCAGAATGCCCCAAAAAAGAATACCTCCGGGATTGTAAGAAAAGAGACGGATCAGAAAGAACAAATGCGTATTCCAGCTATTTCGTTCTTGTCTAAATCTGATGGATGAAATCTTTTTTCGATTGATGGAAGCAACTACTCGAGAAGCTTTTCGTTCTCTCCCCCCAAAAATATCCGGAAGATGGGAAAGATTTTATTGATTGCGTAGATAAATGATTGTCCGGTTTCGGTTCGTAATCCAAGTCAGTCTTGATAAGGAAAGCGGCGAAGCTTTGATTTGGAGGCGTTAAAAGTTTATTCACTGAGTGTCTCGAATGGGAATGTTGAGTGGCTGTAGGTAATGTTTAAATCTTCGTCCCAAGGTCTCAGATGTGAAAAGTCTCAAATTCGATGGGGACTTTTAAACAATTCGTTTCTTTCTCGAGGTAAACGGTGGCGGTTGTAGTTGTGGTTGTGGTTGTGATTGTGGTTGTGGTTGTGATTGTGGTTGTGGTTGTGATTGTGGTTGTGGTTGTGATTGTGCTTGCTGTTGTTGAATGCAGTTGGAAAGTGGTGTGCTTTTGTGGTATGGGGTGATGGATATTTGAGGAGGAACGGGAAGTAGGGTTATGCGGTGATTTGTACGGAGATGCTATGGTGTATGGGAATGATTGAATGGACGATCTTGCAAGAATTATTAATTGTATGCAGAAGAATACGAATGAATGAATGAATGAATCAATCAATCAATCAATCAAATAAGCAAATAACAAATTGATTATGAGATGATTCATTCAAACTTCTTCGTCTTTTTTTTTTCTTGCTTTCTTGCTGTTCCTTGGTTCCGATGGGATTCGTGTGGATATCTCTCTCGCTCTCTCTTGTACTCTCCTTCCCCAAAGAAAATTAAAATAAAAAACTGGAGGTGGATTTAATTGATGGATTTCTTGAGAGAATAAAGAAAGTGGAATCCTCGGAAATCCGTTGGTGGGTGATGTTGATGTTGATAATGGTTGGAGGAAGGAAATCGATGGATGGATAGATGGATGGATAGATAGATAGATAGATGGTAGATGGATGGTAATGGTAGTAAGTAGGTAGGATGATGGTCTATCTAGTCGAAAAGGCTGGCGTTGGCCTAGATTTGAAATTGAATGGGATGGGTGGGTGGAGGATAGATTGAGTTAGATAAGTAGGTGGTAGGTTGGTGGTGGTGGATGGTGGATGGTGGGTGGTGAGTGGTGAGTGGGTAGGAGGGTGTATGTATGTATGTATTATACATGTGTGTGTGTGGAGAGGGAGAGGATAAAACGGGATGGGGTGGGAGTGATAACTGAATTGGATGAAAGACTAAGTTTAGTCAAGACAAGTAAGTCGACAAGCCGGCACGAAGTAGGTAGGTAGACAAGTTACAAGCACGACCAGGTTTAAAAAAGAAGGCAAGGAGAAAGAGGAAGCTAATCAATTGAATTAACCAGCTTCAAGTTAGACCATCTAATCACTTAACCACTTAACTATGTACTTAACCACTTGAGCATTGAAGGAGGAGGAGAAGGAGAAGGAGGAGGAGAAGGAGGAGGAAGACGAGGAGGAATAGTACGCAGGCAGGCAGGCAGGCTGGCAGGTTGGCTGGCTGGCTGGGCTGTAAAAATCACAAAATAAATAAGAAACTCAAAAAAAGGTTTGTTGAACCAGGATCCCAGCGAGCCGAAACCTTGAATCTGAAGTGGGTGGAGAGTTTCTTAGTTGGATGGATGTGATGTTGGCGGATTGGCGGGTCAAGGTTATGAACTTATGATGAATTTAATGCTTGGCTGGGTTTAGATTGAGGTGAATTGGTTTTTATTTTTATTTTATTTTTATTTTGTTGTTATTTTAGTGTTATTTTAGTTTAGTGTGATTTTAGTATGATTTTAGTGTGATTTTATGAATGCATATCTAAATAAATATTGATCTCCAGATATACGATACCCCAGTCTGGAATTGGTATAGATAGAAAGAGACTCGAGAGACAGAAAGAGAGAGGAGGGGAAGGAAAGAGGGGGGGTGGGATAAAATAGATGGATATGGTTACTGCCTCGAGACTGGGACTGGGACTGGTTACTGCTACTGGTTACTGCTACTGGTTACTGGTTACTAGCACTCACTGCTCACTACCACCAGATAGTCATTAATCATGATCATGATTGTGATTTATTAAGTTTAAACCTTGATTATAATATAATCACATCAAATCAAATCAGGTAACATGGTGGAAATATTTTAATGCTTGACGCTTGATGCTGGATGCTGGCATCTTATCATTTTCCCAGATGGGGGGTTGAATTGGATATTGCCATTGGATCTGGAGTTGGAGAGCTTTGATTCTGTTGGTGTGGTGCACTGATATTTGATACTTTCTTGGTCGAGGTCGAGGAACTATTTTGGAGGAACTATTTTGGTTCGAGAGATGGACTTGGACAGATACACGTACACAGATAGATACACTTACACAATAATAAAGACAGTAGAAAAGAATCCGGAGAATCTGGGAGCGACTAAAGAGTCGAGTCGGCACAGATTACCATGTAGGTATATCGTAGACACAGTGTCGATAGATATTGGAGATGAGATATCGGAGATGCTTCTTCAATACCCAAATGAGCCAAAGCGAAATCCGATCCTGTCCGCAAGACCATTTCAGTAATATCGAATGATAAAATCTTTCCTTATCCTCTCTCCCATCTCTTCATTCGTCCAATTTGACTTTATCTATCCGTAGCATTGATATCTTGGCCATCATGTTACATACACTCCACTTAATCAACACAATAATGCCTCGTCCAAATCAAAAAATCGAACCAGAGGACGAGTGCGGCAAGCGGATGGATTCACGACCTCAAACTCCTTGTGGAAACGAGGGCATTGAAGATTACCCTCCCTCGATCCATCTTGTCTTGCACACCTTTGACGCCGACTCGCACTGAAGCAAGAAGGCAGGCATTTAATCGCCCTTGAACATGTGGAGCCCATCCTTGAACAAATACAATGGACAGAGGATGAATTTCGTTGGAGAGGATATGTAAGATGGATGGATGGACTGCGTATGTACTGCGCATGTATGTATATGTGTATGTATGTATGTGTATGTATGTATGTATGTATGCTACATCAATTAATGTACGATGTATGATCACCACCTTTTCCCGTCCATCGTCCATGAACCCAACCTACCCTGCCTACGGAGCACACAAATTAAGAAACTCAGTCAGACTCAACCAAGTCCACCCATCCATCTATCCATCTATCCATCCATCCAATCCTCAATCAAAACATCATCATCAACCATCATCAACCATCAAAAATCATCGCCACAATCCCTCTCTCCCTCCCTTCCCTTCCCTTCCCTTCCTTCCACCCTCAAATCCCCACATCAGAAAGCAAACCTTATAGACAGCAGTATCTCTACCCAAACTACTGTAAGAAAACCACTGTTCTGTCACTCACTCATTGGACCACTCCCCCCCCTTTGCATGCGCGAAAGAGGATATCTCGACTCCATTCGACGAGTTGGCAAAAAGAGGGGAAAGAAAGCCTGATGAAGTATGTAGGTCAGTACGGAGTATCGTACAAAGGTATCCATTCTGCATTCTCCATCGCATACCAATCCACCATGCACATTTCCGTGCGAACATTTCTCGTTCGTTTTCTTCACAAGCGGTCGTTTGATGCGGAGTGAGTGAGTGGCGTGGATATCTATCTTTCTGTTCATCCATCTACGATATCTATCTACCTATCCTTTCATGGCGTATGAACCGGTTCATCTAACCTTTTCATCTATCTCGATATTCATCCATTCATCTATTCATCTATCCATCTATCCATCTATCCATTACTTAAAGAACAACTCTCATTTCTGATAGATTCCACACTTCATCCATATCATCACATCACATCACATCACATCACATCACAACATTACAAATCAAGTAGTAATCAATCAATCAATCAATCAACCACATCCCCAAACCATCGGTCTCCATTCCATCAACCCAATATCTCCGTTGTCTCTTCTCCATGGCCCCATCCATCCCTCCCTCATCCATCCATCATCCACCCATATATCACTCAAACCTCAAACCTCAAACCTCAAACCTCCACTAAACAGATCCAAAAAAACACACAATGAAACATACATACATACATACTCTCAACCCTTTAATACCTACACACACCTCCACCATGTATATAAACTTTCTATTCTATTATTCTATCTCTACGATATAAAAAATACATATGCATCGATAATACTTCGATACTGTACTTCTATTCCTAAGGTTACTCTATTCTATAAAATAAACTTTAATTTGTAAAAATGAACTGTATACTCATTCACTCATTCATTTATTCACTTTCTATAATTTTCTCGAAAAAGAAATAAATAAATAAATAAAATAAAACTATTTATCTATCTATCAATCTATCTCCCTTCCTTCTCTCCTCTCTATAATTAATATAAATAGAATATATATATATATATATATATATATTAAATATATA